TCACAGCCCCCACGTGGAGGTGGGGGTGCTGCGATCACCTCCCACTGGGGGTCCCCAGCACTGTTGCTTTAGTAAAAGAAAGACTTGCTTTGTCTGGTTTTGAACAACCATGCTGCAGACCTCCACCACCCCCACAATACACGTGGGGGTCAAGAGTGGAGGAAAAAAAATTTTTTTTTTGGGCCAATCAGCACCCACTGGGGTTGCTAGGGGTCTCCCCTAGTGGGGGTCTCCCCCATTTTTCGGTTTTGAATTTTGAATTATAGTTTTTTGAATTTAAAATTTTTTATTTTTGCATTTTTATGTCTTTAGTGAATTATATATATATATATATTATAATTACCTTTTAGATTGCATCTAATTATAAAATACTTAAAAAAAAAATATTTATTTAAAAAATTACTAAATACAAAAAAAATAAAAAAATAAACGTTAAGATGAAAAGAAAATAAGTGAGAGGATTGTGATTTCTCTCTCCCTCTCTCTCTCTCTCGTTTAATTAAATTGGACAGAAAAAAATAAAAAAATAAATAAAGATTTCTCTCTATTTTTGTTTAATAAGACTATATATTATATAAGCAAAAGGGTGTTTCTATAGCGATTTTGGTTTGGACCCCGACCCGTTCATATTTTGGATCCAGATTTCATTGTCTTATTCAATTGTTCAAACCTTGTTTCTCTTTATTTGTTATTGAGTTTGGTTATTGGAGTGTCTTGGTTGTGTTTGGAATAGGTTGGTTGCTAGTTGGTCTAAACTATTGTTGCCCAGAATTTGGTCTCTTTGCTCGAGCGAAACTTGTTGCGCTCGAGCAAAGCTTTGTGAGCTCCCAGTATTTTTGCAAGCCTACAGAGATACTGGGAAGGTAGTGTTATTCGCTCAAGCAAGACTTCTTGCACTCGAGCGACGGTCTTCTGTCTGTAAAACTTCTGAGAGTTAGTATTCTTGGCTCGAGCGAAACTTTTTGCACTTGAGTGGTATAGCTTATTGTGTCTAGTCGCTCGAGCGAGAAATCTTATTTCTGTCTGGTCGCTCGAGTGAGACTTCTTGCATTCGAGCAAACTGTGCGTATATCAGTTCGTAAAGTCACTTTTCTAAGTCGCTTTTTCATCTCTCTCTCTAAACAGTTCAAAAACCCTAGATCTAGACTCTCTCTCTCTATCTAAAACTCACATTCTCTCTACAAATACACTTAGATTTAGTGATTTCTCTACCCTACTCTCTTGATAAAAAGGTAGTTTTGGAATTGGGGATGTTGCTGCGCAGCCCGCGCAGCAGCAACTGTTGCACCTCAAAATGGGCCCATTTTGATAATCTGAACTGTTCATATTTTAGAATATATCAAGTAGAACATGCCTACAAAAAATCAAGTTAATCGGATATCGTTTACTCATTCATCCGCTCACATTTGCATCTACAAAAATAAATAATAATTGTGATTTAAAGTACTAAAATGAATACAAATGTGAGTGGATGAATGGATAAACAATATCTGATTAATTTGATTTTTTGTAGGCATGTTATAGTTGATGTATTTTAAAATGCATTCCGAGGGCTCTCATTTGATCCGAATAGTGTTGAGTTTCGGCGTTGTTGAAGTTTCTGCACTTCTTCCTTGGTCTTCTAAGCTTGAGATAGAGATTTTCTACACTCTTTTATGATTTTTAACTTAGCTGTTTGTTTTTATAAAATAATCTTATGATTTTGGAGGATTTTGGACAAACCTAGAGTTTTGGGTCAAAAAATCAACAGAGGGGTTTTCAAATAGGTTCCTGAAAATAGTTGTGGAGATGAGAAATGAGATTGTACTGTGGTAACATAGTTGGTTTTGATATGGGAATTGGTTTGGGAAGAAAAAGGGGTTTTTACCCCAAAAATGTCTAAATGTTGATTTTGTATAAATATATGAAATTGATAATAGAAATTGTGATAACCCAAATTTTTCTTGTTTTAAATAGTTAGTGTATAAATTAATTGAGTAATATTTGGATTGGGGTGTTGTAAAAAGTTATGTGCGAAAATGGTCTAATTTTGTAATATATATATTTTTAAAAAAATATAAATTTCGATTTCAGAAATTATGAAATTTTTTATGATGTTGTTCTTATAAGAGTTTGGCATGTGGGATAAAAATTTTAAAATTTAATGGTGTAGCACTTGTACCCTTTTAAAACTTTTGAGAAATGTATTTGAATCCTTTATTTTATTTTGAGGATCTTTGGTGTTGTTGTATCTTGGTTTTGGATGAGTGAAAATCAATTTAAACTCGTTGGGTTTGTTTGTTTGCGCTTGTTCTTGTCAAAAAGTTCCTTGGGAACTTAGAAATTCTATTCTAGGGTCGACACCAGTCTTCCTAAGGGTCGATTCTTACCTGCGGGTGAAGTTTCTGGAAGTGTTGCTAGAATATAGGGTCGACACCAGTCTAGGGAAGGTCAACCCTCTTATATTGCAGAATCTGTGTGTTAGTTGCTGGAAATTAGGGTCGACCCCCTCCTGTGTATGGGTCGACCCCTTTGCTTGTGCTAGATTGTCTTTTCTACCTAAAGGGTTCACCCCCCTGTCTGAAGGGTCGACCCCTGCGTGTTTTTTTTTTTCTTCAGATTTTGGGGTTCGAATGGGCCTTACCTTTGGGGGGTTTTTGGGCCTATTATTTTATTTGACCTCAAGGCTATTCTCTACTACTATAAATAGGCCCAAACCACTTTTCTCTCATTATTTGCCTCCCATTTTTTCTCTTAAACCATGATTTCCCTCTTCTCTCTCTAAAACTTGACTTTTTTGCACCTAGATCTCTAGATCTACTCACCTAGAGTGATCTTTTCACCATGGTTCCTTGAGAAAGATTGTAGATCTTGTCAAGGGCTTTCTATTGATCCAAGTAGTTCGTAGTTTCGTCACTGGTGATTTTTTGGGTTGTTTTCTCTTCGCTTCAAGAGGTAGGGATTTCTTTGCTCCTTTCCAATACTTCATCGATAGATAGATATGTGGTAGATTTTATTGCATAAAAATCATATTCATTATGGATTTTCTTGAAAGCCATGAAAGGGGATTCTAGAGTTTGATATTTGTGATTAGAGTTGTTAAGTTGTTTGTTATTGGCTTATTTGGAAAATGATTTATTATGCTTGTGAAGAGAGGGAGGAAAGTCCTAATTTAATGTTATTGATATAATGGATTTAAAAGGAAGGAAGTTGAATAATCTTTATATTTTTCTAATATGGATTGTATAATTGTGTTTATATCAAAAGAAAATAAAAGGAGAAGTAGCCACGGTGTTGGTATTGTTTTAGACTAATCATGTGAAGTTGAGTTGAGTTATGGTTTTGATACCAATGAAATTGGTTTTGTAAGATAAAGAGGATGGATTTGGTTTTGTTTTTGTAAAATGACGAGAATGAATTCTTTGAAAATGGTTGGAGTTGTGTGGATTGGAAAATAAAAAAAAGTGGTCTTTTTGAAAGAAAATGAAGTCACCACCCTTTGTAAATTGATAATGAACTTGAGGTTGGATTTTGGAACATCTGCATATTATCATCGTTATTGGACTGAAAGTCTTGCGAGAATGGAATTTTTGTTTTCCTTTCGTATTAGATGTAGAAATGGATAGATATGAATGTAAATGGTGGAATTGGATATTTGTCATCTCCCACCTATGAAAATATGGACACTACTAAAAAATGGACCTTTTGCGACTATTTCAAACGTCGCAAAAGGTCTACATACCGTTGCAAAGACTTTTTGCGACGAAGCAGCGACGGGAAAGAGGGGGTGGCGGAAGGGGGCGTGACAAAAAGTATTTGTGATGGTTACAAACCGTCGCTTTGTTGTAGCGACGGCTAATCAATGATTTTTGCGATGGTTTAACCTGACACAAAAAAGGAGAAAAAACTTCACTTTTAGTGACGATATTGGTTGTCGTCACCAAAACTTTTTTAGCGACGGTATTTGACGTTGCGAAAAGTATTATTCGCGATGGTCTAAAACGTCGCAAAAAAAGTGAAATTAAATTAATATTGTATTTATGACAGTTTAAACCGTCGCTAAAAATTCGAGCTGTTGTATTTACTTGCATACGAATGAGAGCAATGTTATTCACTTCTACAAGTTGAATATACGAGTTTATTTCCGCATGTTATCTCTGAAATGGAATTAAGTAAATGAAATTGGTAATATTTCGAGTAATAAAAAGTGGGGCGTGACAACATCCACGCACATTCACATTCACATTCACATTCACATTCACATTCACAAACTCATATATATATATATATACCCTGTAACAATTGTCAACCAAATATTCTTTACAAAAATATATAAAACATCCTCCAACAGTACTAATAATTTTTGATATTCAAGAACTCAAATTTTTGTATCTAAAATAAAACAAAAGTATCGACAATACAAATAAAGAAATATATATATTATAGCTTGTTTTAATATCAACAGTATGCTCCAATATCGATATGCGAAGATATCATCACGTCCTCAAAAGAGATTGCATTTGCAAAAAAAAAACCCAAAACAAAATAATCATTTACAATATAATTAATTTCAAGCTTACAGAAAATGTAAAACATTTGATATTTAATTCAAATAAATAAATAAATAAAATTGTAAACTACAATATCGATATGCGAAGATATCATCACGTACTCAAAAGGGTTGCATCTACAAAAAGAAACAAAAGAAAAAAATTCATTCACAGTATAATTAATTTCAAGTTTACAGAAAATGTAAAACATTTGATATTTATTTCAATAAATAAAAAAATATGTAAATAAGATTGTAAGCTCCAATATTGATATGCAAAGATATCATCGCGTACTCAAAAGGGTTGCATTTGCAAAAAGAAAAAAAAAGTCATTTACAATATAATTAATTTCAAACTTACAGAAAATGAAAATATTTGATATTTATTTCAATAAATAAGATTGTATTGAGATAAATAAATAAAATGAAGAACTATATAATAGTATTAAGATAAAAGCAACCAAAAGACAAACCTTTGTGACTTCTGAGAAAAAACTTAACACTCTCCCAATATCCAAAGATCTCGATTTACTACTGATTTTTAACTTCTCAATATCAGTTACAAATGCCCTCCCCACAACAAAAGAGAATATATGTGTTTCAACTAACCTGAAAAATCAACAACATTTCAAAAGTTACTCAACATCTGCATAATTTAGGAGAAGCAACACTAAACTTGATCAATTTCTTAAAACATTAGTATTTTCCAAATTGTCAGTGTTAATTTAATAGACACCAACAATAGTGAAGCCCCAATCCATGAAAGATGTGTAATACATGGAAGTCTCATCCAAATGATAAATGTGTCAATTACCTGCAATCCATATAAGTACTAAACAAATTTTAAAGACAAAGATAGTTGATAGCTTCAATATGGGCTTTAAGAATTTAAGATGGGGCATCATAATTCTTGAATGATCTTTGTTTCAATGTGAGCATAACCCCCCAAAAAAGCAGTAAGTAGTAGTACAATTCAAGAGGTTAAGTGGTAATGCTGAAAGGTTTTACACATGTTGAAGCACAAGATGCCTATAGCTCTAACGAATCATTGGAGACCACCACACGACCAATAGGAAAAAGAAAAGAAAAAATGGAGACACAATGCTGAATGAGAAACCAGTTACAGGAATCACATATGTTACCCAAAAAGCAACCTGAAAGGGGAGTGAATTAGATTTCTACAAATTAAAATTAATAATACCCCAATAAAATTAACTACTAGTACAACAAATTATTAACAAGCACAATGATGAACTTAGCAGTAAATGATCAAGCAAAATAACAATGAAGTATAACTAATATACATGGTAAATCAAATGATTAGCACATGAATATTAGATAGCTATAGCAATAGTAGGAAAGTAAAGAGATTAGGGAAGAGGAGACAAACAGATTTATAGTGGTTTGGCTTCAACCAAGCTTACATCCACTCCTCAAGTTTCACTTGAGATTTTTCACTATCTTCTAGCTTCATAGGGGTGCTAGCAATCTCTTTACAAATGGAGCAATTCTCCACGAATTTTACATAGACTTCACAAGCCCAAACCCTTGCAAATCTTAGGTGATTCACAATCACTCTCAAGATTTCAAGAACACAGTGTTTGCAACACTTTTACAAGATGAAATGGTATTTTTACTTTCAAAGAAAGCTTACAACAAATATCTCTCAAAGATAGATATATAAAATGAAGCTTTGATTTTTCTGTAAATCTCACACAAAGCTTAATGCTATAAGGCTCAGTGTATAATTTCTGAGAGAGGTTGTAAACAAAAATTAAAGAACACTTCTCAGAGAATTTTTCAGAGAATAGATGTGAATGATTATAGATCAAAGTATATTTTCTGATTTTTCTTGTCACTTGTTTACATTAGAGGCTTTGGTATATATAATGAAACTTATAGCTGTTTATAGCCGTTGTATTCATTTTAATATATAGCCGTTTATAATTTGAATATCTTCCACTCCATCATTACTAATTTGAATATCTTTCACTTGAACCTTTTGAACCTTTTAAACTACTACTGTGCTGGGCTGTTTGAACCTCTGTTTCGGGCTATTTGAACTCTTGATTGAATCAAATATTAAATACATTCTAACAACATTTAGGATAAAGATTTAGGTGAGAAATAATAGGACAAAATAAATTTTGATTCTATTTTTCTCTTTCAGAATAAATGTTGATTCTATTTTTCTCTTTCAAATAAATCATTAAAATAAATGTTGATTCTATTTTTCTCTTTCAAATAAATCATCAAAATAAATTTTGACTCTATTTTTCTCTTCCAAATAAATTAAAAACATAATTAAATAAATCGTCAAAATAAATAAGTCTAACAACATAATTATCCATGATCCGCATAGACAAGGAAATAAAAGGTTCAAAAATCCTTGACTAGCTAAGTCTTTTAAGGGAATTATGGCCAAGAGTTGCTAGTAATAGACTCATAAGACATGAGCCAAAACAGCAAAAGGATCACCAAGAATAAATTTTTATTCATATTAGCAATTAAACAAACAATCTGCCTTGCAGCTTACTGACCCTTGAAGCATAAAACTTCAACACTAGTCTTTCTTCCACCCAGCTTACTCTCCCAGAAAATGTTTCCATGCCCTTATATCATTGGATTACTCAAAATTTTAAGACAATTGACATTTTTCTTCAGATGATTGCAAGATTGCTATTTCAGGAGCATTCACAACCTAAATTATAGTTGGAGTACAGCTTCTTACTCTGATACTCAGAACAAGATTTTGTGGTACACCAATTATATTATAAAATCCACAATGAGTTGTGTGTTTCCTTCATTCTCATCATGATCACCAAATTCCAATTTGATTGGAGATTGAGAGATATCTCATCCATATAAAACTCCAAATTATAGCCATGAAATGTTAGGAAGTAGAAAAGACCATATGGATTATGTGGCCACTAATTGTTGATTAACAAACATGATGTGAAAAACAAGGAGCACATCAACAAGGGTTTGAAAAAATGTGGGCTCCACAAAGAAGTTACTGAGGAATGTAAGAACGAAGCTTGACACAATATGTAATTTGATCCTGCCTCAGCAGAAATATTTTACATCCATGCATATATATATATAATACAATATACTATTATAGGACATTTCAAGACTAATGAAATTATCCATAAGCCAATTCAATTGTATGGTCTGCTTAATTCTTCAACTGTTAATCCAAATACTTGATGTCGATGACTTTAGAGGCATTTAGATGCAATATTTATTACATGATAGGGCCAAAAACATTCTCAAAAAGATATATACGAGTTCTTTTGATAATAAGTTTTATGTATGTAATGATGCATTTGATATAGAAAACCAAAGATAATATACATTGTATTTTAATAATTCTTTAAGTGAATGAATTACGTGTCTCCTATGATTATATGTGTATCATATTTCCATCTTCATAAATTCAATTTGCAGGTATGTGAGAGAACAAAACACTTATTAGTGCTAACAGCAGCAAAAGGAGTCATTCATAACAAGAAATGAAAGGGAAAAATAACAATCCACCAATTTAAAAAATTGAAATGCATATATATCTAACACAAGCAGAAGAAAAAATCGTACACATAGCGGGGAACATATCTTCACATTTAAGTAAATTGCATAAATATTTCAAAATTGATACAACAAATTAGAAAAGGAGAGAGGTTTTCATACATGGTAAGTAACTGAGCTACATTAGTATGCTGCTTTACTAATCTACAAAAAACATCTACAGTCATATTCAAGGCCGTTTCTTTTGCCTGCATGGACCCAAAAAAAAAAACCATTAACTGTAAGAATTTCAAAACCTAATAAAAAAAAATTCTAAAAAATAATACTTTTATAAAGTAGATTGTATACCCAAAAAGCTAAAAAATAATACTTTTATACAGTAACTAGAAAGCAAAGCAAAATGATCACAGCTTACCTTTTCAGAACTTGACGAACGAAACTCTTCCCAATGTCTCTTGAGGTCCAATTCCAATTCAATTTTATCTCTACTTTCCGAAAACAGAAAACAAATAAGGATCGTATACAAGTGAAGAATAGCATATAACTTTGGTTTGTCTAAGTATATGATATGTAAATCTAGAGATGTGTCAGTGATGCTAAAACTCCTTAATAGACCATCATCACCACAAGCATTAAAGCAGTTGGGCAAACATAGTGAAACTGTCCATCCAGGAATTGACATCAGAACACATAACACAAAATCACCTCAAGAAAGATTTAACATTGTGACTGAAGGAGCCGAGGGATAAAAGCGGGAAATGTAGTCTGATTCTCTAATTGCAACCAAAATCAGTACTAAGCCAAAAATCAATACAATTATATATATACAGAACCATAACCCATACAATTATCAAATATACAAATATCCAATACATGATATTACCTATTGATGACTTTTCTCATCAACCTCAGAATTTTTTGATCACAAGAACTTCTTCAGCAAAATTAATGTTCAGAACATATATTTGTTAGGATCCACATGGCCATAACCCACCACCTCCATTAACAAACTTCTGAAGCTCTCACCATCAACCCATAGAAAGAGAGAGAAAATTCGTATGTATGTATGGGGAGAGAGAGAGAGAGAGAGAGGTGTGGCTTAACAAGTTGCTACAATGGAACTCCCTTTTGTTACAATGTGACTTGTATTTTATGGGACAAAATACAATCAAAATTTCCACCAAACAAATCAACATCAGAATTTTTGTTTGGTGGAAAAATCAACTTATTTTTTTGCCCTCTTATAAACAACATCAGAAGAATTTTTTCTTCTGCCTAGAAATCAACATCAGACAACATCAAACTTTTTTCCTCAGCCTGGACAACACCTCGACAAAAATTCTTTTTTCCAGGCTAACATAACCTCCCCAAAACAACATCAGAACAAAAATTCTTTCTTTTGCCTGGAAAAATCCTTAACTACCCCAAAAAAGTCTGTTCTAATTTTTTAGGAATAGAAACATAATAAGAATTTCATACAACAGAATGAAACTATAGCTGGAAAATAGTCAAGGACAAAAGAAAAAAAAAATTCCTACCTCAGTCATGTTAAAAATGAAATTGGGAATAGTGGGTAGTGCTTTGCTTCCAACATGGACAAAAGCATCGACACACAGGTCCTGAAATTGAACTTAACTTTTGGGAATTCCAAATCAACTCTATAATTTCAAAAGAAAAAAATACAAAGACACACAGGCATAGCAACAACTTCAGCTCAAAAGAAAGAAATCAATTAAAATTTAAGGAAAAAAAAAAAAAAAGAGGGAGACCATAAATTAGATGTTCAATGCGGTTTTCTTTCTTTCTTTCCTTCAAACATTTTAACATAGACCAAAGAACAAACACCTTAGAGCATCTCCAATGCATCCTCTATATTTGAAGATATAGAGGATTTGTTGCTCCAACCCATCCTCCAAATCCATCTCTATTTGGGAGGAGGATGAGTTGATCCTCCAAATATGAAGGGAGGATGAAAAATAGAGGATGTTCTCCAAAACACTATTCATTCTATATTTTTTATTATATTACAAATAACTTTTAATATGTAAATTTAATTTTTATAAAATTGACATCATTAAAAATTGTGAAATCATATTTTTAAAATGAGTATAATATTAAATATATTTTACAAAAATTTTAAAATTAAATATTTGTTAATGAACAAAAATTACTTTTTGATGAAGGGAGGATGAAGGATTTTGAAGGTTTGTGGTTGGAGTTTAAATGAATAGTAACATACTCTATATGTACTTTTTGAATAAAAAAAAATTATTTTCTTCCTCTTGGTGAGAGGATTGGGTTAGAGATGCTCTTACAGGCAGGACAGACAAGAAGGAGAGACCATATGACTATAATAATTGATACGTACAAACACTCTATTGCGTGTGTATATATATATATATACATACATAGATGTAGAGTTCATCAATACCTGGTAACGAGAGACCAAACACACAAGCACACACTGTATATGTAGAGAGAAAGAGAGAATAGGAATACCATGCCACCAGTGCCACTTAAAAATTGAAATGTTTTTTGAAAAACGAAATGGTGAGGTTGAACAATGAAGGGGCAAAGATCAGAGAATTTGAAAATTATAGTTAGGGTTTGAAATTGGGGGAAAGAGGGAGAGAGAGGGAGAGAGAGAGAGAGAGAGAGAGAGAGAGAGAGAGAGCGTGTTTATCTGATGCAAGAGGTCTGAAATTAAGAGAGTTAGTAATGGTAGAGGGTAGGCGGCTCCACACACTACCAACGAGCATCCTTCCTCTCTCCGCCAAACCCACTACTGCTCATGTTTCGTTTCGTGTTAGCGCATTCTTCTTGTTTACTCTCTGCTTTGACCGGTTTGCCACCGATCTCACAGTGGGGAAACAGAACGACAACACCATGGCGTGAGACATTTTTGGTGATGGTGGCGGTTTTGAATGGTGGCCTAGGGTTTGTGCTTATGTGAATGTGAAAGAGAAAGAGAAATAGATAGAAAGCAGAGAGTACATTGTGAGCAATGGTGAGAGAGAGAGAGAGAGGGAGGGAGGGAGGGAGGGAGGGAGGCTACTTTGTTTTTTTCTTTGTTCGGTCCTTGGTTCTTGGTTCTGTGCTTGGTGTACGTATCTGGGCTGAGATACAGATAAATAAAAAATATATAATGAAATTAAACATAAAACTTAAATTAGGCAGTAATATTTTGTCTTCCTACTCAAAGATTTGAGTTTTATAGTCGATTAAATATTTTTTAGTAACTGAAAGTATATATTTGGCAATCAAAAAGGAGCCTCATTTTTTTTGGGTATCTATTAGCGACAACATAAGAAAGCCATGGCAATGGCAAAAAAAAAAAAAAAAAAAAACTATTTGCGACGGGAAGTTAAGTTGTCGCAAAAATAGGCCTTTCACGACGGCTAATGGCTTGTCATCGCGAAAGCTATCCAATCTGCCATTTCCTCTTTTTTGAGACAGTAATTGCCATCGCAAAAAGTAACCATTAGTAACGGGATATTAATCGTTGCAAAAAATTACTTTTTGCGATGAAAAATTATACCGTCGCAAAAGGTTTCGTGTCATGTACCCCTTTTTCTAGTAGTGATAGTTTATCTATTTTGGAGATTTTATATATGTTTTGGTCTATTGGTGGATGATAGCTATGACTGTTGTAGAAATTGCATGTGGACTAGGTAAATTGAAATTAATCTTTTGTTGGTTGTCATTGAATATGACTATGTTTATATACATTGTACATGTATGGTTATTTTGGAGTGGAAAGAGGATTTACTCCATTGTTTGAGTTTGGGTTTAAATACATTACATATGTATGAATGATTGTTTGGGAGGAGAATGAGGATGGACTCCATTATAATTAAGTTGGCCGGAGTGTCCTGGGTGAAAGTCTCGAAATTATACATGGGTGCCTAGCCGGCGGGCGAAATATCCGTAAAATGGCAATTGTAGTGCTTGTATGACCTACGTTTACATGGGTTCCGTTTGGCCGCTACCTGCAGACGAAATATCCATGAAAGAATACACGAGTCCCGTTCGACGGCTGCTCGCAGACGAAATATCTGTGAAATGGAAGTTTGAAGTGTTTGTGTACTATTTGTGTTGATTGAGAACCGCTGAGTTATAGCCTCAGTTGGGTGTCTAAAATGTAATGAATTGGCTCATAAATTGAGATGAAATAAATTAACTGGAAATGAATTGTCATGAAATAAAGTAAGACTAAAATGACTAAAGGTGTATCCTTGACTTGACATTTTGTTATGGAAAGGTGTATCTTTGGTTTACTGTGCTTAAGGCAGGTAGAGCGGATCTTGTTTATCATTATTGTCTTAGTATATCTGTGTATATTATGGGTTATGACGGTTATGGTTCTAGAAGGCCGTGTTGTCTCATTTGTTGAGTAGATAGTTGTTGGTTGCTTGTTGTTTTGCCTTTGTGCTAAATGTATATATGTAAAGACATGAATATGTTAGAAACGGACGTAAGTACTATATTGAGATTGTGAATAATGTGAGGGACATCGGATACTTGTGAACATATTTCAAAAAGGCAAATAAGGTGTACGTCCGGAAAGTGGGAGAAAATGTAATGGACTTTGTGAAATTGTTTTTAGGAACTTGTTATTGTCATATGAATTTTGAAAAAGGGTAATGTAGATCGCCCGAACTTCCTCCGCACACCCCCTTTTCGAAGAGGGTGCAGATTTGGGTTCTAGCTACTACAGTTCGGACTCCTATTATGGTTCTGAATCTAATCTCACAAAGTGCAATGTAAGATTGATAAATCACCAAAGAGCCAAAATTCAGCAACTCGTTTTGGAAAATCGATTTTAATCAAAAAGTGCCAAACATGGACTGCTTTGCCAGATTTCAGAGTCGCCACCTAAATATTTTGTTTTGGGGAAATTTAGGAAATCCTGACTCGTGCCTAAGGCCACATGTCCGTCATCACCTAAGTTGCCTCAGCTCGGGAACTTGGGTACAAGGGGGGAAGGTCCTGAAATAAGCACCCTCGCTCACCCGATCAAAGATCGGCCTCTACTAACATGATATGTTATTTTGAAAACACATGCGTTCTTATTCCGGTTTATTAGCTAACCTTACTACGTGATGCGCACAGCATAGAAGTATAGACTAAATCACTCGATTTGGAACAAAACATCTCATGTTTGTTTTTTGAAAAGTGGTTTGAAGTTGCTACCCTCAAGTAGACTAAAGCGCGGATTTACCACCCTCAAGTGGGCTTAAGGAAAACATGATTTGCCACTCCGCAAAGTGGGCTTAAAACTCATAATCAATGAATTGTCCCAATTCAAGAATGAAACCTCCATCCACAGGCATTCATGCAGTTAATCACTAAAACACATAGCCTCATGGCAAGCATGCTAAACATGGCAATCACTCACACTCATGCAGTATGCTAAAGCGTAAACACTTACAGTGTACTCCGAACCAAAACAGAAACTGGTTAGAAATCAATGCATGATCCTA